TTCCCCTATGGATTATTGGAAGTATGCAAAGTTATGTTGCTTTAAGAATGTCAATATGAATGGCTTGAATTGTCAATATCGTGCCAATAAAAGAGCATGGATGACTAGCGTGCTTTTTGAAGAATATGTTCGTTGGCTAGACCAAAAAATGCATGGTAGAAGAATTTTGTTGGTAGTAGATGATTGTCCAGCCCATCCAAGAAATGTTGAAGGACTGCAAAACGTGGAGTTGTTTTTTTTTTTTTTCCACCTAACTTGACATAAAAAATCCAACCATGTGACGCTGAGATTAGGGGTGCACAAAAATTGGTTAACCGACCGAAACCGACATTTTGGTTTGGACCGAAACCGAAATTTTGGTTCGGTTTTCGGTTTGTATTTTGTTAAAATTTTGATTTTCGGTTCGGTTTGGATATAAATGATCGGTTAACCGAACCGAACCGAAAACCGATACTATAAATATAAGTTATAAAAGCCACATGTTACCCAAACCTATGCTTTTAATATTTAAGCCCATTTTAATAAAAAAACTATTGAAATAAAAGCAGCCCAACCCAAACTTTTCCTATATTACCAAATTATTAGTATATAAAATATAAGCCCATTCTTTTTTTCCTCCTCCGTCATCTCCTCCCTCATCTGTCGACTGCATCTCGCTTCTCCAAAGTCCAGGTCAATTTTTTTTTTTTTTTCTGCGAATACGTGCCAGAGATTTGATGTCTAAATGAAAAGTCGAAGTCGAGCACGCAATCGAGCAATCGAGCATGCAATCGAGCACTCCAATTATGGGATCGCCGAGCACTGTACTCTGAAACTCCAAATCGCCGCCGCGCTCCGCACTACTCGGCACTCGACGAACCTCGTCTTCTCAAATAAGATTGCCACCCAAATTCCCTCCTTCGGGTTGCACTCGATCGAATCAATTTCAAGCACTCAAGGCAAAATCAATTTATCTCTTTCGTATTTTACCTCTTGAATATTTTATTTTATTTTTTCTGTTAATTGGCTGCGACTTGCTCAAATTAGAGCTGAGATTTGCTGAAATTGTAACTAAGGATTTTTTTTTTTGTCATTTCTCCAATTTTTCGGATAACCGATAATCAAACCGATTCAACCAATAAATTCTCGGTTAAAAAATGAACCGAACCATAAAGTTCGGTTCGGTTTTCGATTCGAGGGTTCGGTAAACTGAAATTTCGGTTAACTTTTAGTCTGTTCGGTTCGGTTTCGACCGATTGAACAACCCTAGCTGAGATAATAAGAAATTTCAAGATGTATTACCGCAAGCGATTTTACCAGAAGATATTGGAAGGCTTTGAGATTGGACAATCTGATCCAGAAAAGATTAATGTTTTAGATGTCACGACGAAAGAGAATTTCCAACTCCCGAAAAGGAAGACGCAATTCGACAAGGACAGGGATTGCGTTCTCCGAAAAGTTTGGAGATTGGTTGAATGGCCATGGTAATTGGATTATTTATGCCCCCTTTATTATTGTCGTTTAATCATGCATGTTCTTATGTGATTTAATTGCTTTATGTGCTCACTACAAGAAATTTCAGAAAACATGACGAAAAAAATCGCCATGTAAACCTTGTTTTTCGTCACAACAGTATATTGATGAAGAAAATTTATCATCACAGCGATCGTCATCGTAGCCGCGTCATATTAGGTATAGGTGACAAATTTCGAATTTGTCACCAAATGTTTACCTTTTAATGACGTTTATAAGTTTCGTCATGTTATTTGGTCACTTTTTGTGACAATAAATTTTGTCACGTTTATTATGAAAATTTTGTCAGGTAAATGATTATTTCGTTATAAATAGTATTATTATTTAGTGATGAATTTATTTTTTTTATCGAATTTATAAAATTTCAATGATGAATATATTTGTGGCATTTTTGTTAAAATAATTGTCATATTTCATAGAATTCGTCATAAAAGAGTTGTTTTATAATTACAAAATATTGGTCGTCACAAAAATAAATTTTAAATATGACGATACCAAAAGTGTCACAAAAAAATAGTAGTGACGAAATATTCATCGTCTCCAAAATTTATACAACAACGACGAATTCTTTTGTCATAAATTATTATGTCTATGATTACGAAAAAAAAAAATTGTCATCAAAAGCTTGAGATATAATGACAACATAAGTTTTCATTAAAGGGTAAATATTTAGTGACAAAATTTATTGTCATTTTAACATTTCATATAGTGACAAATCCAAACAAAAATCCAAACAATACACCACGATTACATGTTGTGAAAAAAATTATTTTTAATGACAATTTAAAATTTGTCCCTATCACAAATATAATAACTGTCATTATTTGCATATATTTAGTGATAAATTTATTTGTCATGAAATATATAATACAGTGATAAAAATTATCGTCACTCTAAACAATTGTCATGAAAAGAAAATACAGTGACAAAATCTTTATAAATAATATATGATGGTAATATGTTGTAGATGATAAATTAAAAAACAAAAATAATAATAATTTTGCTAATTAAAAACTTAAATAAACGAACTAACAATCTCAAAATGTTCCAAATAAAAAAAAATAATAATAATAAAGCTAACAATCTCAAATTATGTTCCCATTGGCAGCCATAAAAGCCATAAGTAGAAGTTTGTCTACTTTTGCATTCAAATCACTAACTTGGTCCTTAAGCTCAATCACTTCAGACTCTTTCTCACGCAGCTTTTCTTGTGTCTCTAGAAGTTCCTTCTGACCATTCGAGTCACATGCTTTGCGGCTACTTGGCGGCCTCGGGCCGTATCGATAACCTTTTATATATCCAACTCCATGGCCAAGAACCTCAAGAAGTATATCTTGTGCACTCTTCTCAGCGCCTTGTTCAGAATATTTTTCTCTCCTTGATATCATCAAGTCCTAACAAATACCAATAAAAACTATATAATCATATTGATATTCATTTCAACAATTAGAATAAGAGATTGTGCATGCAGTTTACCCAATTTTCTTCTGCCTCTTTTGTTGACCAACCACCTTTTTCCTTATAATGCGTACGCTTATAAAGCTCAATCATATCTAGTGGTCCTCCATTCATCTCCTTCTCAAACTACAAGAATTTATAACAGTAAGCATAAAGAGTTTAAATTCAAAAAAAAAAAAAAGAACTAATGATCATAAATAAATTAATATCTTCAACATAAACTTACTATTTCATGTAGAAGAACAGTAAAAGGTGTTCGGCCCGAAACATGTGGAGCACGCAACGTTTGTCGATTCGTCACATTAATCAAACTTTGGTGCTGTCAAATCATAAGTAATGTTATTGGACACTAGAAAACTAAAAAATATGAAAACTACAAATTTAATATGCAAAATAGAAAAATAATATTATAATGCATTACCTTGAATTTAGGCGATGCAAAGCTCACACATTTCTTCCCAGTTTTCTTGACTACCACAAAAAGAGGGCTTGTTATTCTTAGCTTCTTCATGAGACGAATATTTCTTGTAATATTTATGTAGTCTGTAACGTTTTTGCCGTGAACTAGCTTGGACTCTATCAATCACGCAACGTTTCACACCTGATCATCCAAATTAATATCCATGTGGATCTATACAAATAAAAATGAGATTATTTAAGGTGATATAAATAATGTATTCATGCGACTTGAAAAATGTTTCTAATTTTTACCTTTATATGATCAATGCCAGGTTGAAGATCTTTTTCTTCATCAACATCTTTCCACCTTACTGGCACTGGAAGGACATCTCGGGTGACTACACCAATTTGACTAGAAAACTTTGAAGACTCCTCTCTACTTTTAGGTCTTCCTATCGATGGATCCATAATTACCTTCATTTTTTTCCCGCAAGCCTGGAATGCTTTTTATAATACCTTTGCCCATAGTTTGTCCACGTCTTTTCTTAATGGTGGTATTGGAAGTTGCATATTCACCACTCAGTTATTTTAATTAGTCAAAAGCATCATACTCATAAGATTGTAATTTATTGAACTCTGAAAGGCAAAGGCACATGTATTTTAATTTAAAAGAGCAGAGCAGGCATGTTTTTGATATTATACAAATCACTGGAGTTTCAAACTAGATTCAATGACACATTTATCAACATTTAACAAATAACCGAAGTGAAACTGAGGAATTCTGCAAAACATATTTTCAGACTATAATAAGACAAACCACATTAGAAACAGAGATTAAATTATAAAACAACTCTTATAAACCACCAGACACATGTATTTTTATTTTGATTCAAAAGAGGAGCAAGCATGTTTTTTATATTATACAAATCACTGGAGTTTCAAACTAGATTCAATGACACATTTATAAACATTTGGCAAATAACCGAGGTGAAACTGATGGATTCTGCAGAACAAATTTTTAGACTATAATAAGACAAACTACATTAGAAACAAAGATAAACTTACAAAACAATATCTTATAAACCACCACGAACAAGTATTTTCGTTCAAATGAGCAGAACAGTCATGTTTTTGATATCATACAAATCACTGGAGTAACAAACTATATTGAATTACACATTTATCAACATTTAGCAAATAACCGAGGTGAAACTAATGAATTCTACAGAACAAATTTTCAGACTATAATAAGACAAACCACATTAGAAACAGAGGTAAACTTATAAACCATCTCTTATAAACCACCAGGTAAATCCACCAGGTAACTCATTGTTGTTAACATGGACAAAACATCAAACACGTAGAAGAATCTATCAATTATCACACCAACAATTGCCACTGCCACTTAACAGGCACATATGTATCCTTCAGTAATCTGAATGAGCACACATTAAAACAACAAATTATCACATACGGCGACTACAACATGTTCAGCATGTTTTTGCAACTGTAAAATCGCAACGGTTTTGGAGATACTTACCAATGATATCTGTCTGAGGTAATTGAGGATGTTGACTTCCCTCTTGTAATGGAGAATGAGGAGTGCTTCCATTTTGCTGACTTTGATTTTGTCAAGTCCTCTCTTCTTGTTGCTGAGTTTGAGGAGTCTGAACTTCTTGCAAAAGAGTGCTATCCTTGTGCTGAGTTTGAGGAGTCCGAACTTCCGGCATAAGAGTGTTCTCCTTTTGATGAGTTTGAGGAGGCTGATTAGTTGGCATGTTTCCCTCGAACGTCAGATTCGCAGTTTTGCTTCTTATAGACGAACCATCCGTTATTGGCAATCCCTTGTTCCCTTTGTCTGATGCCATATCGGTTTTCTCGGATTGTCGGGTTTTAATCCTTGTTAAACCTCCTGTCATGTGTTCCATGAAAATCTGCCGAGAATTATTTGGTATGATTTTTGCTTTTGGATTACGAACTAATCCAGGAGCCATTTGAAACAATCTGTACGAGACAAAAAAAATTATATATTAAAGTCTGAGGCAAAAAAAATCCATCAGAAAGAATGAATAACATATGCAAGCAATAAATTTTTCAACCTTAATGTAAGACACAACCAAACAATCTACTATTAGGTAAAAAATTCTGTAAAACATAAAGAAGCAAGATAATACTTAGAGTATTCAGACCTCTAGTTCTTCCAGAAGAAACTGATAAGAGAAGGCGGGTTATAACTTTGTTGATTGCTAGCCTAATATTGGACTTATAAGAGTGAGAGAGCGGAGAGATTATAGCAGAAGATACGATCAAATTGAATAAAGTCTTTATCTACCTTAAATAGATAAGAGTACCAAAAATAAAACAAGGTAGTGAGCGCCGAATCAAAATTTTTCTCCGCCAATGTTTTAGTAAATAAAATTGGCCAAAGATAACCATATTACCCTTATTAAGCGAAATTCTAGAACAAAAACCATATAATTAATTAAGCTAAATTTTACAACAAAAACCCGAAAAATAAGGATGATTCATATGAGAATAGAACTCCCCGAACCTGTGGTGCCCGATCACCATGGGCGTGACGAGCCTCTGTACCGGAGTGACAGACGACCTGACCTCTATCGAGAAGTGGTTGTCACTCAGTTAAAGCTTCGCCAATTCTTGCGAAGGGGACTCGAGCAAGGGTGGGCAATGGTAAAGCTACTCGTTTTTGGTTGGCTGATGCAGTTTTCCCTTATTGAAGTGTTTCAGAAGGTTTGATTGAGCAGAAAAAATTATTCTTATTGGAATGCAGGTCAGGGTTGGAAGTGGGAAGTCCTTTGTCCTCTTCTTCCATCGGAAATTCAAGCTCATCTCTCGGCGTTCTTTGTGCTTATGGATTCTGATGCAAATGACTTTATTTGTTGGGCCCTCTCTCCTAATGGAATGTTGGTCACAACACTTGATACTCCACGCTGCAAACTCGGTCGTCCGCTCTCTCCACCCCCAAACCTCGCCCTCCGCCGCCTCGTAGACATTTGTATAACACACAATCGCCGCCTCCGTTCTCGTCCTCGCCGCCATTTTCGAGCACCAGGTGGCAGACTTCATCAATGGCGGAGTATTCAATTCATATTCTCTCGTGAAATTGATGCAGTTTTTGGGTTGGAATTGGGAGATGAGATCGAAATTTGATTATTGTGCCGAGATTTTTGGGCTTTTGCGGTGTAGTGAGCTGAATTTTGGCTAGGTGTTCTACAATTTAGGATCCATTGAGGGAGGGAGAGGGAGACATGTACGGTGGTTTGGGGGTGTTCTACGATTTAGGATCCATTTAGGATTCAATAAGATTTTTTTTTCTTCTTAATGGGCATAATATTGTATATAATAAAATTTAGATCATTGAAAATGGATCAGACATTTGGCTTGAATTTCTCAAAAAAAATGAGAAAATTTGTTACAACACAATTATAATCAACTTCGATCATCTGGGGAAAAATAATCTTCATATCCACAATGATTAAAAAATTGCAAACATCAAAATAAGGTCTAATTTATTAAAGGAATGGAGATGGATCAGAAATGTATATAATAAAATTTATATACAAAAATTTGTTAATTAAATAGTATGGCAATTTAAATCATTCAAATATGTAAGCTAATTAATAACTGTAGCATATACATTATAATTAAATATGTGTTTTTTATTTATATAAAAAATATTATTAAATTTATTAAATAAATTTTTAAAAACATTGGACTGGTTCAAATCGATTCGATTAGTTGTTTTTTGACTAAACCGAAAAATTGATTTGGTTTTCGGTTTGCACTTTATTAACATTTAGGTTTTGGGTTCAGTTTGGGTAATAGTGAACGGTTAACCAACCAAACCGAAAATGGCTCGAACATTAATTTTCGTTCAAGATTTGTTTCGTCAAGCCATGATTTGGGTCTGAGATCTTCCTTAGAGCAGAATTTGAAATTTATTGAAAAAAGTAAACAAAATTAAGATTTCTTTTGTTCCAAAAATAAAAAGAAAAACAAATTTTGGTTCGGTTAAAAATTCAAGGTTTATTAAGAAGATGAATTACTTCTTGCGATAAACCAATAATATTGCGGTTAATAATATTTTTTATATAAATAAAAAAATATTATTAAATTTGTTAAATAAATTTTTAAAAACATTGGACTGGTTCAAATCGGTTCGATTAGTTGTTTTTTACTAAACCGAAAATTTGATTCGGTTTTTGGTTTGCATTTTATTAATTAAGAGGTTTTCAGTTCGGTTTGGATAATAGTGAACGGTTAACCAACCGGACCAAAAATTGATTTATACATGTATATATATATAAATATATATTTAATATATTTTTATTATACATATAAGTTATAAAAGCATTAATTTACTTCAATAATCCCTAAAATGGCTCAAACATTAATTTTCGTTCAAGATTTGTTTCGTCAAGCCATGGTTTGGGTCCGAGATCTTCCTTAGAGCAGAATTTGAAATTTATTGAAAAAAGTAAACAAAATTAAGATTTTTTTTTTAAAAAAAAAAAATAAAAAATTAAATTTTGGTTCGGTTAAAAATTCAAAGTTTATTAAGAAGATGAATTACTTCTTGCGGTAAACCAATAATGTTGCGGTTAATAATGTTTTTCATATAAATAAAAAAATATTATTAAATTTATTAAATAAATTTTTAAAAACATTGGACTGTCTCAAATCGGTTCGATTAGTTGTTTTTTACTGAACTGTTCGGTTTTCGGTTTGCATTTTATTAACATTTAGGTTTTCGGTTCGGTTTGGATAATAGTGAACGGTTAACCAACAGAACCGAAAATCTATTTATATATATATATTTAATATATGTTTATTATACATATAAGTTATGAAAGCATTAATTTACTTCAATAACCCCTAAAATGGCTCAAACATTAATTTTCGTTCAAGATTTGTTTCGTCAAGCCATGAAATTGTCGAACAATTTGAATAATTCGAACAGTTCGTGAACAAGTTCGATTATATAAATGAACGAACACAAACTTGTCGAACTTAACAAACGAACCAAATAAAAATATTTGTTCCATTTGTTTAACGAACAAACACGAACATGTTGGAAAAAATGGACGAACTCGAGCTCGAAAACTTTTGGCTCAGCTCTGTTCGGTTAGATTTGACAACGGATATACTATTAAATAAAATTATATAATATCTCTAAAATCTTAACTGAAACTCCTTCTCAATTCATCCAAGTCCCAAACTCTTCGCACAGTACAAAGTACAGAACACTTCCCAGACTTGCAAATTCGCACAGTACAAAACACTTCAATTTCGCACAGCACAAACACACAAAATTCGCACCTTTACGTTCGAATTCTCCTTTGAATTTGCACTCTCAGTCTCACAAATTTACATTCAAAGATTATTTGTTTCGAATTTACACTCTCCTTCTAATGAAATTCACATTCGCAATTGGTTGCTTGGAATTCTGACTCTCAGTCTTACAATTTTCCGGGCATCAAGCCAATTTGCGGTCTTCTTTTCCACGGAGACCTAGTGGCTAGCATCTCCTTGGCTCGTGCTTTTTTATCAGCTGACAGAGTAACCAGGGTGGGCGTGTTAGGAGTAGGTTCGACTTAGCCCCTTACAAATTCAGGTCTGTACCCATCTTTATCCGGCAAAGGTACTCACTTTTTTTTTTTTTTTTCAGGAAATAGTCATTGATTCATAGTCCGAAGAAATTAGAAAATTCTACATTATTGATAGTACAAAAGGGTGTTTAGGTGCAGAAGCCATGATCGGTATAGTGAGGCTAGCTTTCCCTCTTCATTTTTATCTTCAGTTATAGTTTTTTTTTTTAATTGCAGAATTTCAATATCACAGAGATCCTTTGCAGCCTACAAGTTAACTTAGAACTATTATCTTACTCTACATATCAGAGCTCCTGCACATATATTAACAGTAATCTACATTGGGTAATCATCTATGAGAATTTAAGTGTAACAAAGTGTGGAACAGAGAACAAAAGATATGGGTTAACAAGTGCATGTAGAAAAGAATGGCAGTAAAATTGATATAGGCGTGAATAGTTCATAGTTGTTATTTTGTGTCCGAATAAAGTTTAGAAATATACGCTGGAAAATGTTTCTTGTGAAAAACAGTATTTAGGCTTTAAGTTGCTTTGATTGAGATATATGTCAAATTTATTTCTCTAACACTGTTCCTCTTACTATCATCTACTATTATTCTCAACCCCTTGGAACTAAGACATGAATCAGAGCTTTACTGCATCCTTTGAGCATGATATTTTGTGTAACTTTGCCTTGTCTTGAGCAAGCACATATTGGAGCATGCAATCTGTATAAAAAATTTCTAAGTTATTATTTTTCTTTTTTTTAAACATTAGTTGCATATTGGATTTGATGTTTGCGTTTCCTAAACAAGTTAACATAGATATTGTGCTCTAGCACCTACAGTCTTAGCTGGTCAAATCGGTCCCCTTCTTTTTGAAGCTCTATATGTGAGTTAATATATTTCTTAGATGCTTTGCCTTTATTCCATCATTTTTGTTCTCTTATCTCTGCGTCAACCAACCCCAACCCCCTACTAACTTCCGTAGATATATTTGTCGGAACAAAAAGGCTCTATTTAAAATGAAATCTACAGGCTTCCCAGCATGCAGTTTTTTTTCTGTGCAAGGATTCCACAAATTTGGGCAAATTTTAAAGTAAGGAATGTAGTTTAATTGAGTTGATGTTCTTATATGTTGGTTATCATAGTTACATTTCTTTTTCCTGGCTCAATGAGGGAGCCTGTGTATTTTGTGCGGCTGAAGATCTATCTTTGAATGAGTTTTAGAGTGACCAAACGTGGGATCTTACATTAGTTCAAAATGTGCAATTGAAAATTTTATACTACTGAGGAAAAAATAGGTTTCCTCAAAGTACAGATCAGTCATCAAGCACGCTACCACACACTAAACAAAACACTTTGGTACAAATTTGAGAACTATAAATATGTTATCTAAGGTCAAAACCAAATTATGTTATGGCACAACTATGTATTTTCACGAAACATGGTACATTGTAATTCTCTACTTTAATGATATTAATTTTTGTTTGAGTAGAACAAAAGTACGGGAGAGCTTAGCTTTATAACTTCGTTCATGAATTTTGGTGGTTCCATGGGTAAGTTTATATGCTATCTTATGTTGGCGTATGCATCTTGCCTATTGATTCTCTAAAGTTTTAACATTTTTTATTTGTCAGTGAGAGTTTTCACAAGCCTCCAGGAAAAGGCACCAACGAGCGGTAATACTTTTCTTATCTAAATTTTTTGAATTCATTTACAATGTCTCATATATAGTGTCAACTCTCGGGCACTCATATCCTTATGTCACATGCAGAACTCTATTTTGGTTTATATATCTCATCATTAAGACTTAAACGAACTTGTGGTGTTAATGATGAAGAGTTCATCATTAAGTAGTGCCCTAGTGATGACCGCAGGTTTACCTTTATGGTTCAGTTAAACCCCACCCTTAGGAAGCCTGATGGATCCATGAACCACTTAAGGTTTCAACAGATTGTCCTGTGACAATTACATTACATCTATCCTTATTCACATTTCACAGAATAAAAATCTGGTTTTTAGAGATGGTTCAATTCCTGGGGGCATTGTTTTTTTCCTGCAATGGGTTACTTGTTGAAAGAAGCTCTGAAGACTCTTTGTGGGCTTAATCAGTGGTCTTATGCTGTTTTCTGGAAGATTGGCTGCCAAAACCCCAAATGAGTGTTTATAATGAACCTCCATTTTGAGTAATCGAGAGAAAAATATTATCTTTATTTCCCCTTAGAATTTGCCTTTTTGGTTTGTAGTTTTTGCTTGCCCTTTAAAAGTTTAATTAAGGTTGATAAGGAAAAAGTGGAACACATGACTCTAATCCTAGCATTTCTTTTAGAGATTTTTTTTTTTTAATGTTTCCAAGAAGATGAATTTTTTCTGTTTTGAATTTCTTTTTTATATATTTTTTGTCAAATTTTCTTTAGATTTTGACTAATTTAGAGTACTGTAGCTCCTTTGATCTGTAATTATATGATTAATCATCTGACAATATATGGTTAAAGTTCCCTAATTTGTCTTTTAACAATATATGTTTTGATAAGTTACAGATTTACTGGATATGGTTGTCTTTTCCTCCTTTCGCTCCATGATTTGATAAGTGAAGCTTTCACTTACTTTGAATTTGGAGTTTTCTTGTGGGTCAGTTTTTATTTGTCTTTAAAAATCTCAGTAGAAGTATTGGAGTTGTTTCTAGATGATGAAACCCTTTCAAATGTGATAGATTTCCTCTGAATATATGTTGAATACCTATGTTGTACTTCTTGGTTGCATCCCTTTTGTACCTTTTTCTCTTGATTATTCTATTTTTGTTACCTTTACTCTAAAAAAGATTCGATAATGTCGAATCCGAGATTTCAGCGTGATTTTCTTTTGCAGGCTTTTAGTATGGGAAGAATGTTACTACGAAACTGTATCATGTTCATGGCTATCAGGAGATCTAAATCCAGAGAACTCATTTCATGATTACAGTCCTTCTTGGGTTTCATCTGAAACTTGTAATTTACAGTCGAGTGTTCGAGCAGGGGATAAGGTTCATTTGCATGCAAACAAGATGATGATTGACAATCAAGTTCATGTTGTGGGAGAAGGGTATCTAATTCTCAAATCTTAGTAAATATAGTTTGTGCTTGAGGTCATGGAGAACCTTTTTTCTTTTTCCCTTTTGTCCTTGTTTGATAAAAGTATATGGGAAGAGCAAAAGTATATTGCTACTATCACTATAAGAAAATGGAGAGAGGATGAAGAGGTTTGTTCTAGTAACTGAGAACATAGAATGTTTTGCTTATCAAGGATTATCCTTTTGCTGTATTTATTTTTTTTAAACTCTCTTAGGTGTACTTTCTTCCCGCTGCAGGCTGTTCATGTTATTATGCTAATTTCTTGGGTGTTAAGGAGCAAGTTCTTGTATTTTCTCATTCTTATGCATTCTGAGTAGATCTCTTGTTTTCCAGTTTCTGTTGATGATTCTTGTGCAAAAACCTGAGTTTAGTGATTATATTTGACTTGAGTTGTAGAAATTGAATTCAATCTTGCTTTTCTTTTATATGTTTGTCATTCATTTCTCGAGTAAAAGGGCATATTTTAATGACAAATGATGCCGTAACACTATATAAGATATTAGTGACAAAGTCGAAGACGTTATAAAAGGGCATATTTTAATGACGAATATAAATTTTGTGATTGTTACTAAACCACTTATGACACAAATTTGTCACAAAGAAATGTTATATAATGACGAATTATACGTGAGCGTAATTTTAAATACAAATAAAAATCAACGATTTTTATCATCACAGTGAATTTCATCACGATATGTATTATTGTGACAAATATAGATGCATTATACCATATCGTCACAAAAGAAATTTGTATGATGACGAATTATACGTATGCGTCATTTTAAACACAAAAAAAAACACAACGATTTTGATTAGTCACAGTGACTTTCGTCATAATATGTATTAATATGACGAATTTAGTTGTTTTATAGTTTATCGTCACAAAACAAAATTATATAATGACGAATTTTTTGCAAGCGTCATTTCAAATACGAAGAAAAACAACGAATTTGTTTTCGTCGTAGTGAATTTCGTCAGAATACGTATTATTGTGACGAATTCAGATGTATTATAATGTATCGTTACAATAAATAATTATATAATGACGAATTTGTCGCCAGCATCATTTTAAATAACAACAACAGTGATGATATTTTGTTTGTCACATTCAATTTCATCACATTTTATATACATGTGACGAATTTAAATGTATATGTGACGAATTGAGTTGCATTGTCACGAAAAACTCCATTATGTGACGAAAAAAGAATCTAAGATGACGAATATAGGAGTCGTCGTCATATGCAATGGTGTAATGACGATTTATTAAATTCGTCACCGTAAGGCAACATACGGTGACGATTTATTTTTCGTCACATGAATTTTCGTCACTGTTCGACAGATTTCTTGTAGTGGCTAATTAAATTATTAGGAGTATATTTTGGAAAATCCCTTAAATTAATATATTAAGTGTGAATGGATTGAAATAAATTGTATCCAAGGCCTCCATTATTGGTTTGTCAATGAAGTGATTTAAATCGAGCCCAAAGGACGTTTTATTTCACAGTTCATAAGGACGAATCTCCTATGGGATGGTTATAGTGAGCTATTTCAAAAGCGTACGGACCACCCAAAGGTGGACGTATAATTTTGGTAGTAAGCTTAGGACCAATTAATGGGTTACACTTAAAGTGCAAATAATTACGACATTCCCAAAGTAAAAGGTACTTATTGTGCGTTGGCCAAAAGGTGGACCGACTATTAATTAAGTACTGTTTGGACAGTATGTTAATTAATGAGATTAATCCCTCCTCTTGCGGCGGTATGAACCGTAGACGTCCAAACTCCGTGGCCTGCAGGGTTTCGGTGTTTTAAGGTGTCAGTGAATTTATTTGAATATTGTTTTAAAGGGATCAATATTTGATGTTAAATTCGAAGCACTTGACTGAGTAAAACTATGTTTGCATGATCCCAGGAATTCTACATGTCTTTCAATATGTTGTCCGTAATTTTCAAAGAAAAGAAACTTGTTGGTCCCAAATATATTGACTGGAAAAGAAACTTGGATATTATGTTAACTGCTGAGGGGTATAAATTTGCTACTACTTAGTATTGTCCGGAGGAGCCGGGAGAAGGCTCAACAGATCAAGAGAGACAAGAGTATGCTAAGTGGAAAAAAGCTGATGAGATGGCGAAGTATTACATCTTGGAATCTGGTAACACAAAACACTCCGACCGGCTTGAAATCGGCTTGTCTTCCTCCTCCTCGCCGGTAGAACGCCGCGCACCTGCGCAAAACTATCACACCGGAGGGGTTTTCTGGTGAAGAGCCTCCGATGCTTAAGTCAGTGTATATTTTACTCAATTCTCCAAAGTATGTAATGGATAAATCGTAAGTTACAAGAAAAGACTCACTCCTATATATATGGAAGTGAGATACCTGCCCTAGGAGCTGCCCGGATCTTGTGAGTTGTCCTACCCGCGCTGCCCGTCCGTACTCACACAATATGCGTGTGTCATAGATGTCAGAGGTGGTTATCACTACTATTGCTCTGGACCAATGTACTCTCGCCACGTGTCCCTCTGAGCAGAGAGAGATTATTCTTTGCACATTCTGTTAGGATCTTCTGACGAAGTCCACGCGCTTTCTCGCATTCCGGCCACGCTCTCGACTGCTCTTCACCTGTTAAGTGTTCGATCTGACCGAGTCCCCCGTCGCTAGGTCGATCCTCGACCAGTTCTGCTATTCTGCTCGATCCTTTCCCTTTTGGTCGATTATCGCCCGACCAATACAATCTTTCCTGCCTCGAGCTCGTCCGACCAATGTGGTAAACTGGTCTATTCTTTAGGCATATAATATCCCATATCAGCATCCTTATCAAATGTACTTACATCAGCATCAGTCTATGAACACTGCAGCAGAGATGCTCAACAATCTCAAGGAACTGTTTGGCCATCAGTCTCGGGCTGCCCGACAAGAAGCCATGAGGACTCTGATGACTATGACCATGCGTGAAGGCACTCCCGTAAGGGAACATGTTCTTGCAATGATGGCCCATGTGAATGAGCTAGAGGTTCTTGGAGGTTTTATTGACGCAGAAACGCTGGTGGATATAGTACTCCAATCTTTGCCGAAAAGTTTTGAGCAGTTCCAGTTGAACTACAACATGAACAAGATGATGTTGACTCTTCCGGGACTTCTGCCAGAACTCCAGTCGGCAAAGGGCCTCTTTAGTCAAAAGCCTCAAGCCATGGTGGCCCAGAGGGGTGAAAGATCTTCTTCTAGACCTAGCAAGAGTAGGAAGAGGAAGAAGTCTGTAGGAAAGGGCAAAACAATCATGAATGACGTGCAATATCATAAAAGAGCGAAGAAGCCAAAAGACAAATGCCACAGATGCCAGCAAAAAGGACACTGGAAGACCGACTGCCCTCTCCTCAAGAAGAGCCATAAGCTCGATGAGCCTTGACCTGACCGAGCTGAACTGCTTCCGACCGGCCTGTGCCCGATGAGCCTTGACCCGGTGATCCGTTCGTGATCCGACAAACTCGATTAAAATCGAGAAAGGCCAAGTCCGGCAGCCAATCGAACTCTGGTGTTCAGACGATCTCCATCAACGGAAATTAGAAACGTCTCAGAATCGTCAAAAAAATTTAAACGGTAATGTTCTAACCTAACTATAACTTTCGCTGCGTTAGAGTTTATTTTGCCAAATTCAAAACCCAACACAGAGGATTTACAATTTTTTGAATTTTTGAAAAAAATATCAAGAACAAACCAATTTAAAAGAGCACGGTAGATAGTAATAAAGAACGGGTGATTTATTTATTTAAAAAAAAAATAAGTGGACAAAAACAAAAAAAAAAGAAGTGGAAAAAAATCAAAAGCACGTATTCTGAGAATACGTTTTTCTAATAAAATTTTATTAGATAAACGTATTCTCGTAATACGTTTTACTAATATTTTTTAAAAGTAAAAATAAAATATTTTCCGTTTCATAGTGGAATAGAATTAAAAATAGTAATTATAAAACGTATTTTCAAAATACGTTTATAAATTTGAATTTATCAATAAAAAAAATAAAGAAATAGAAACGTATTCTACGAATACGTTTTACAAATAATTAAAAGTAAAACGTATTCTGAAAATACGTTTTACAATAAAATATAAAAAAAAAAATCTCTCTTCTCCCTCATTTGCGCATCTCGTTCTCTTCAGCAGCGGATTTTTTTCCCTTCTGCGACTCATTTCCGGTGGAAAAAAAAAACACGATCCAATCATACCCGACGCAAATCGATAACAACGACAGGAGTCTCATTTCCGGTTAATTCATTCGCACAAGGTATATTGGCTTATCTTAACTTTTTACATTGTTTGGAGTTGTTTGGAAATTGGAATTGTTATAATATGTTTGAATGTGGTGTTGTTTGGACATTAGGAATTGTTAATTGTTTATCGAATATGTGTATATGTTGAATTGGAGATTGGAATTTTGTTATAGATTGTTAATTGTGTATTTGTTGGTTGTTGTTGGGCTTAGGGTTTTCGAAATTAGGGTTAGAATTGGGGCTTTCAAATTTATCCGAAATAATTGAATTTTTTTGGTGTTGGATTAGATATTAGACACCATGTGTTGTTGTAATTGGAAAGAATTGAAAGTGTCTTTTTGCAACAGGTATTAATGGCATTTTCCGGTCCATATTTTGTTAATTTGTACTGGCATTTTGCGACGGAAAGGTTAAGTGAATTTGTTTTATTTAAAGATCGTCCGGATGGGTCATTGTTTATTCCGGAGAGGATATCATATCAACAATTGGTAGAAATGATTAATGAAAATTGTTGGTTCGGAGAAGGTTGGACAATGAAGGAGATTACTTTAATAGTTGAGCAACGCGATGGTTCGTTGAATTTCTTAAGACTCAATAACGAAAGTGTTCTTCAGTATATTTATTACCTTACTCCTATGTCCACGGTGTATTTGCATTTATCGTTGGAGGCAATTACACCGGTTACACAGGTTGAGGATGTGTGGGGGTGTTACGGGGGAGAGGTGGATGTTGATGGTACGTCGACTTCCCATCTACGTAATTTTGGAGAAGGGACAAGCTCAACAATGCAATGGGAAAATGAGAACTGGGAAGAAGAAGAAGGCGATGAAGATTTCGTTCCTGGTGAAGATGATTTCACAGATGAGACCTCCGAAAGCGAATCAGACAGATCGATAAATGAGGAGAGTGAACCCGAATTGATTGAAGAGGAAGACCCTCTTCCTAGTGGTGGTCGCCACATTTATCGCGAGATGGGTGAATGGGAGCCATCGAAGATAGATGAGAACGAGTATGCTCTTC